CATCCTTAGAACCTAACTAATCTGGAGTGTGTGAACACTTTCAGTCTTCCTTTAAAAGTTCTCATTATAAGTCATCCTTAGAACCTAACTAATCTCTCCTATTAGCATCACAAAATGCTACCAGACGCACAGAAAAGAAACACATTGTCATTTAAAAACAAATCTCAGTAACAGAGGAATGAAAGAAAACACACAAGTGAGCAGGTTAAGTTGATTTCAAAAGCAACCAGTTTCCTCCAGACTCAATAAAGTTCACTTTGTGCGCATGAATCGTCTCTGTTTCAAGGTGACAACACTCCCACCCTGGGTTCACATGTATTAAATAAGCAGCACACACCCTCACTATCACAAACATCCGCTCACAACCCGAGGTTTCTCTCTAGGAAGCCAAGCCCTGTTATCAGCTGAGGGCGAGTCGGCTGCGCAAAGGAAATGTGGTACTCACGGGTGTGCTGCCGTTGGAGAAAGTGTTCATGCTGACCGAGCTGCTCAGCTTTTCCGAGGACACGGAGGGTGGGGACGGGCTCCGCTTCCCCAGGGGGTCCTGCCGCTGCAGGTACTCCCGCCAGGCTCGCTGGATGCTGCAAAAGACCCAGCACACACACAGTCACTCCCAGGGGGCAGCTCTCAGACCCAGAGAAACACAAGGGGTCCAAAAGGATCAACTCTGGAGACAGAGAAAGTGTCCTACATAGAAGGTGGTGTGGGTAATCAGAAGACCTGGACTCAAAATCCTTGTTGGCCCCTGAGACTGCCTCTCTCTTTCACTGGTTTGACCTTCACAGACTTGATTAGGCTCAATCAGTCTAAAAGAGTCGAATTAGTCAGAAAAAGTCATCGGTAAAAGTCAAACCAGTTTGCACACATAAAGGCAGTCTGATTTAGGGGACATCAAAATCCTCCAGTTTCTTATCCTGTGTTTCAAATGAGAATAATCAATAGGCTGACATGTTCTTTATTCACTGCCACAGTATATGGGTGTTGAGGAACCGCTCTGCACCAGGGCCAGCTCCAGGCTCTGGACGGGGATCCTGCAATGCCCCACTCCAGGGGGCGCTATTGGCATTGACCTCCAGGTGAAGAGCATCCATGATGCTGCACAGTGCTTAGTCTGCGTGGCCAAATGTAGTGGCCCTGCTCTGAGAGGGACAAGACAGGCAAGGGACCAGCAGTCATGGATTTCACATACAGTGGAAGGAAACAGGAAATATATAATAAGAAATGAATGAACTCCTGGTGGCGCAGTGGTTAAGAGCTTGGCTGCTAGCCAAAAGGTCAGCAGTTCAAATCTACCAGCCGCTCCTTGGAAACCCCATTGGGCAGTTCTACTTTGTCCTATAGGGTCGCTATGAGTCGGGATCGACTAGACGGCAACAGGTTTTATAAAGAAATGAATAGAAAAGACAAAATATCAGAACGTGTTAAACACTATTTAGATAAAGTAACATGTGAGTAGGTGGTGACCTGAAATACTACCCAAGGAAGCTCTTTATTTCCCGTGATTTGTATCAGAAAAAGTCATCTTCTTCTTAGGATAACGGAAACCTCTTCTTTGTGAAAGCTAAGTGACGTTTTCCATGGACTAGCTTCTAATCTCGCCTTGGAGATTAACGGCTAGGTTTCCACGGGATTCAGTGAATACAATCTAACCTCTCCTGGGGTTTAGCCAGGCCTGCAGATCAGTGTCAGGACTCAGCCTTTTAAAGAGTTTAAAATAGTCGCATTAATTCCATCATTATCTCCTCTAGACTCCTGGAAGCTTCTAATCTTCTGTAATTCTTCCACGTACAACGTAGGCATCGAAGTTGTGTCTGTATGAACAAACTGGTCAAAATGATCTGAGACCATCAATTTTCAACAGTCAGAACATATATAAAGAACACACAAATACCACCACATTTTGGAATCTGTTTGTTTTCCCTAATTTACTAAGGCTGGGTGAATTATAACACTCAAGGAAAACTCCAGAAGCTGCAGTGAAACAATACCTTTGGGTCAAAGGCCAATTTACCATGAAGCTATAACTTAAGCCTGAGGGCCTTTCCTCGGAGGTCAGGAGCGTCTCCCAAGGCCCCGCGAGGCCTCTTCACGGTTTGTTCAAAATTTGCAAAAGTAAGGTATCTTTTAGGCTTTATTTTTAAAGAGAACCTCCAAATTATATACACTTGAAGCACCACAAAAGCAGGGTGTGGCTCTGCTTTGTTGTGACCCGTCACTGTTTTAATATGCAATGCTGCTCAAAGTGCATGCTTCTTTCCTTTCTTTTTTATTTAAAAATGTTAAACAGAATCTCAAAGAAGTCCTGAGCTTGGTC